CGGGTCAAATTCCCACTCACTCAACGGACATCCACTCAATCAAAATCCTGACGCCATCATCATCAAGATGTGAAACACAGTCTCGACTCTTGCCTCTCGAGTCCCTGCATCAACCAACGGATGACATGATTGACTTTGACAACAAGTACCAAATCGGATAACTACTCTAGTACTCGGTCTATAAGTCTTATATGCAAGACACTACTTCCGTAAGATCAAACGTTGTGTCGCTTGAGATGTGGATACTTGCCACGTCTGCCGATGCTCGAAGATTCTGACCGGGCAATCATGAATGGATAAATGAACGAGAGTGAGTCGTTGGGCGAAAGAGTATGCAAACTTCATCTGAAGATTCATGCTATCAAGAGAAATGTTTGGTTTGATGGCGGTACAAGTGTACTTGTATTTATTTTGTGCAGCGTATTTCGTATCGACTCAGTCAACGTGGCTCTGGCTTTTTGTACTTCGGTTTGAAGAACCACATGTCAAAGTACTGAGATGAAGAAGTAGTCTCGACATAACTCCTATGTTCATATTCATGCATCTTTAATCCAATTCCTGTTCTCATGATAGTCAAAAGATGTCCATCTCTTGTTCTGTTTCGCGCTTTTTTGCCCTTTTCTCTTGGGTTATAACGAAGGCTGATATTGAAATCCTGTTCGTCTGATCATTCCACTTCAGCTCTCTCCAAATCATATAAAATGAATAATGCAAATGCTTTGAGGAACATATGAAACTATCGCAGTCAAATCTTCAAAGCTCTTGGGGAACATATGCATGCATTAATTGATGAAGGAGAGCAATTTTGATTTTCCGTCTTGATTCAAGTCTCGAAATGCAAAGTATCATTTATGTTATGATACATTCCTGTATCCATTCTCTTCAATCATTGCTTCATTTTGAGTATCAGATACGAAAACTTTCTCGATAGATCTCTCAGTTTTGAGATATTCGAGAAGTGAAGTCGAGATAATCTTTTGACTAAAGGTTATTTCTACGCTAAGTTTAGTTAGGGTTAGGAGCTGCTAAGAGGAGCTACCCCTCTCGCTCATTCTTTCTTCATTAAAAGCATATACGCAAACCTTACATGTTATAAAGATTCTTGGGTTAGATCTCAGTCATTTCAATCGTACTACATTTCTTCCTTTGATTACATAGTTTCTTGACATTTAGATCTTTCGCACCATAATTCACAAGAATAAGAAAGATATCGAGTAAAGCTACTCAGGTACAAGATCCTTCCATCCCTCGAAAACACCCAATAACCTTTTCCGTCGCTTCATGTCTTCCCATATATCTTTCTCGATACAACACCAATCTCCTGCTCTGATCAATGATTTGGCATCAGCTATTCTTCAAGTCCATAAAGCCAATGAGCACTACCGATACTTGAATACCCGCAATGGACTCATTTAATGTACCTGTGTTCCTTCCTGTGTAGATCGATGGTCTAAGTGGTCCAGTATCTACCTTCCATAGACTCAATGTCGATAGTATATTCCGGCAAACGGTGTAATTCCTCCTTTCAAATCAAGTTATCCAGTTGATTCTTTCAATCATTTCGAGAGCTCCGTGCTTGACTTTGTCCCGATGATTGATGGTACCTAAGAAATAGCACTGAGCAAGATTCGGTAGGCACGCTAAGATGAGTGTCAAATATATTGCTTCTGTTGATGACCACCAGACATTCCAAATATCAAGGCATCAATAGTTCCAATTGCAAAATTTAATAAGCGCTATTCTTCTGTCAAATTTACATGTTCCAAAATCAAATAACCACATTTAATATACGTTTACTCCCGTACAACCCACCCAAATTGATAGTAGAAATTGTCTAACCTTAGTCTAACCTTCTAACTTTCTTTTGCAAACAAAACAAACACAACCACAACTACAATCTCATTCTATTTCTTCAACTCTCCTTTGCTTGTCTAGTGTCGAAAGCAAGATATGACATATATTCATTCTCACTCTCACTATAACCCGATATTTATATCAATCAACACACTCTCAAATTTAACATACCGAATTACAAAACAGTGATTGAACAAATCAGACAGCTCTAGTGTTTTTCCGTAACCTAATCCATCTATATGAGCCTTAGTTTTTCAATCCCTGCTCAGCGCGACCCGATTTACCAAGTGAATACGGTAGCTCTGTAGCTTCTATATCAGCCAAAATTCATACTCATACTACCAGAAAGCATGCAACACTCCACCTAGATATGGGCCACCAATCATCTTGTATTTTACCACTCCATGGGACATGTCTGTGAATGTAGTGTGGCATACTTTCTGGCCGCACGAGTAAGAGAAAATACATTACACCAATCTTTGCTCAGGTTCTGTCTTAACATGAATCATGTAATTCCGCTAGCGCTAGTGCCCTTGAATAGACTATACTTCATGCTCTCAAAGCTTTTAGATCATTATCAACATGAGGCATTAGGAATAAGAAAGCTCACTCATGTTATGCTGATCATCCTCCATTCACGACAATACCAATAGGAGTTTCTAGTGAAAGGCTTTAACGATCACGCAGGCGCAGACTGTTGCGTTTTTGATACATTCCCCGTGGAGATCACTGACGCCCGCAGTTGCCGAAGAACCAATACAAGCCAGGCGTCGGTTTGTTGGGCATCCATACTTGTGTTCACTTTGGCCCTGGGGCTGATTGATGGGGAAGGCTATGTGGGAAGTTGCGTAAAGAGAAAGAGCTGCATTAGCGTATAGTATGTACAGTAAAACTATGCTATACCGGACTGAAAAATTCGACCAATCAAATCCGGTTAAAAATGGTGGTTCAAGCGTTTTGGCGAAATTTATGCTGGATTTCATCTTTGAGATTGAATAATTTCATTAAAAAAATCATGTGACAGCAGCCAATCAAGCTTATTCGGCCAAATTCACCACCAAAATTATACCGGATTCGTGAAAAAACAGCCCGGTATTCCGGGTTTGATCGAAATTCCTGTATTCACATATAAATTTCGGGAAAAAATGAGGGAAAAATCCGGTATATCCCAGTCCGGTATAGCTAAGTTTTATTGTATAGACATTTCGGTGCTGTGCATGATGCTAAAGCAGAAGACATATCTGCCTCCTAGCTATCTTCTTGTCAGACAATTATATGAAAGGGGACACAATGACGATAATGGGACAGTACATCGGGGAGATCTTTCCATGGAACTTTGTCTATCATTGCTTTAGCTTACACCTTCTTGTAAGTTGATTAACCAAAACTGCGGAGAAGTTGTCGTGGGCCTTGGCGTTGATGCAAATTCCCGATATCCGCAACTCCAGTTGATCACAACTATATGCTTATTAGCTGATTCGGGAATTGTCAGACTATACGCTGGCGACAAGTTGCATCTTTGTACAGCGCAGTGTGTACATATTTACCCCACTGTATCACGAGCCTATCTGGCAAGCTTCTTATAGGTGTACTGTTGCATCCGGCTGGTTGGATTTGAACCTTGTGAGTCAAGTTCTGTTCTTATTAGTATCTACTTGCCGATCCAACTTAGTGTCTTTGCGATAGTAACACACATTCATCAGTCATGTTCATAGCCAAAACATCTTTTAGTTTAGAGATGCAACATCAACGTAGTGTGTTTCAAATGGAGTTGGATTCTATAAGAGCTGGTTGCACGCTCTTGTTAATTATCTCTTTTCCTTCCAGATATCCTTCTATCTATCTTTAGTTATAAACAACAATTGTTCTTCTATTCCATGTCTCAATATATCAGCCATCCAAGTTTTGCAGAAAAATGGACAGCACAATTGATTCTCAGCATGAGGACCTCCTCCCAATATGCACAACAGTCGGTTATACCGTGAATTTGCTCTCCCAAGGTAATTAATTGATTGATTGATTTTATTAACGTCCATCTTCAGTCCAAGATTATATAGGACGGCTAGGCTCTAAGGGTCTAACGAGTAACTTTTTAATTTACAATATTAAATATAATCTAATTGGGGAAATAAAAACAAATACTAGGGAATAATGCCTGCTTATTATATGCATTATATATAATAAGAAAATTTTGAAAATCAAAAAATTATGAGAAAATCAAACCCCCCTCTTATTTCCTCAACTGCTTTTTCTTTATTCTCTTTTTCTTTTTTCTTTTTTATTATTATTTTTTTCTCTATTACTTTTTATTCAAAAATTCTTGCTAGATGCTATGCCCTTGTAGCGATTTTGGTGATATTGATAAATTTGATAGCTAATTCAATATCTATCTTTATATACAATAGGAATTATATAATGATTTTGGATAATAGGATTTTCTTAAAGATTTCTTTTCTTTCTATTTTATATATAGGATAATTGATAAGAAGGTATTGTGGTGCCTCAATATTGCTATATATATATTTGTTATTGATGAGTTTGAAATGATATAAGTAGGATTTGATATATCCATGATTTAATTTGAGTTGAAAGAATGTGCTAGCAGTATTTCGAGTAGTTTTGCTTGGTAGCTTGATTTTGGAACCTATTTTTCATAAAATAGCTTCGAGTAAATTGATGGGGATTGATTTGATCTGAGTTTGTATTGATTAAGAATATTAAGCCATTAATCTAAAGCATATTCTTTGATAATTATATCTAATAGTCCAAAGTTTGTTTTATTTAAGATAAGTCGTATTGTGGTTGTTTTCTTAGCTAGCTTATCTGCTAGTTCATTTCCTTCAACTAAGATGTATCCAGAAACCCAATTTAACAAGATTTCAATTCCTTTTGTTTTGATAACTTTTACTACCTTGATTATTTTTATTTGGTTAGTTTGTTCTGAATAATCTGAAAGAGTTTTTAAGCGGTATAGATTAGCTTAATTATCCGAATAGATTTTGAACTTTTAATTAGTATAAGTAATTGAGCTAGCATATTCGATAGCTTTTGTAACTCCAAAAAGCTCTCCATTATATACCAATTGATTAGTACCAATATTGCTTCGCTCTTGATATAGAATTCGATTATTTGACTGTATAGCCACTATGCCTACTCCCCCAAGGTAAGTTCTATTGCATATTCGCAAGAAATGTACTAAAGGTTAATCGAAATAGGTGTTGATCCCTTTGATTTGTCTACAACACTTGAGTCGGATCATAAATACAATTTCTTGAAACACGCCGACCCGGGAGAGGAAATTACAGTTCCAGGATCGTCGACGAAGTATTGGCTTCCTGAAAATTTCGAGAAACACGAGACGGGATCAGAGACAGTGAATCAGAGCCTTAAGTGTCGGACTGGAACAGAACTTGCCAATGAATTGCAAGTCAATTCAAAAGTTTCTGCTAATTATTTCGGATTCTCCGCCGAAGCTAGCGCGGGGTACGAATATAGCACAAATTTTAAAAGTACAAGCTTGTATGCAATATACAGTCTCGACCAGAAGAATTACTCTATCAATGTAATCAACAAGCAGACGATATACGATTCAGTGGAAGATGAGTTCATTGACGCAGCCGCTAAGCTCCCAGCTTGGAAGACAATATCTAAGGATCTCAAAGATTTCGATGAAGTGACCAGCATCTACAATTCGTATGCCAAATTTTATTCTAGATACGGATCTCATTTGATACAAGAAGCGTATATGGGCACACGGTACCAGCTTAAAGTCGAACAGAACGAATCAACGGAAGAAGATGAAGAACAATTCTCAACAAACGTCAAAGCGGAGTATCAAGGTGCAATCGGAGTTTCCGTCAGCGTTGATGCCAAATATACCGAGTCGTACAAACATTATACATCACAACGACAAAGTGATTGCAACGTTCTTGGAGGAGATGCTGGAAAGGCTGACACGCTTGCCCATCTATCGCCAGATGACACGGATGCATATAATGCAGCGTTCAAGGAGTGGCAAGAGAGTCGCGAAGAAGGCTCTACAGATGCTCTCTTGCACATACGCGTCATGGAAATTGGAAACTTCCTGAAAGACAGCTATGTGAAAAGTCAATTGGCAGTTGCTGATCGTCTTTCCTCTGCCTGGTCTTATTTTAAGGATTTTTATACCTTCCAGGGACGAATAGGTGTTGTAGATTTATTCCAGGGCGGTGTGGTGAAATTAGAGATTACCCCTCTGCCCGGATTGGAGATCCGTGTTACTGGAACAGACATTCTTACAGTAACTCAGACGAAAGCAAACATGGTTGAAGTTACAGCCAATGAGATCTGTCTTGTGGAGCACCTTAACGTAACCATAGTCGCTCCCGATAGGCCAGTTCAGCTTCTGCTTAAACGAAATTCGGTAAATTACATTTTGGATACGCTTCAATTAAACCAATTAGGGCCCGACCACTTCCGAACGAAATACAAAGGGTCTGATGCAAGCCAAAATGTGAGTAGTTTCAGGGATGCACATGGATTTTAACTAGATGAGTAGGATAATGGCGAACTGGTGAGCTGTGAACGAATTCGGATTATTCAATGAGGTTCCAGTTCTCCGTAGGAGGGATCAAGTTTAGGAACTGATATTTTGGATTGGTATTTACACGAGATTCACAAGTGTCTCTCACAGTTCAACACTAGTGTATCTATCTATTTATTCATCACAGTTTCAGTTATAGTAATTTCCAGTATGATTTCATGCTTGAAGAATCTTTCAACCCCCAAATCTTCGATTGCACTTCTTGCGTCTGTTGCTAGCGAAACACAAACTCACAATCAAGAGAAGGTTTATTCACTAACCATATTTGTAATAATGGGAGGAGTTTCGACTCAATAAATGACTAAAAATCTCCAAGTTTGACGGATGAGGCATCTCTCTATTCATCAGCGGGTGAATGGAGATTTTTCGAACCCATTTTCAGAAACGGGAGGCGAGATCGAAACTTCGGGGGATTCCCGATACTTTCCATTCATGTTCCCACTCAGATTAAGAAAACGATTGAGGAAGTGTCTGGAGGAAGATATTGGCGACAGAAATCTGCCACACAAGTACCACACTCGTAGCAGGGAACTAATGGTTAAACGAGACTCAAATGATTGGCCTGTAATAATTCGGGTTACGCTAATTCGTCGCTTAAGCCCAACGATCCGACTGCAAGGACAGACAGAGCATACAATGAACGAGAACTTGCTGAGCACTTGCTAACTTATTGGTCAATTTTGATGATCAAAGGGGAACGAAGGGGCTGGTGATGTCGATTGAACAAAACTAGGCTACTTCGCTTGAACTGCGCATACCGTGAACTGAGGGTAGTTCTAAGCGAGGCAGACGATAATGTGTTTTCGTCAAAATCAATTGTTTGCATAGAGCTTTGCCTGGGGTTCAGACTAGGACTTAGCGTAATGTCTGATCGAAAATTGTGTGAGGCATGGTCGCTGTTAAGGCTATCCGAAAGTTTCCACCAAATGATCGTTGCAAAGCCCACGAAAATCAACCTTCAGATCGGATCTGAACTACATACGCACAACGTATATAATCTGATCTCATAAAAGTCCACTGTAAAATGATTTGATGTACTATTCTACAATTCAAACAATTTATTGAGTCCTTCTACTCGGCAAAACCAGCTTACTGGCGCGGTGCATAACCCCCCACAGGTCCCGACAAGAAACATTACCGCTCACCTCCTCATCCACAAGCCGACTCAAATTTTGGAGCTTAAAGCTCTTGATAACTCACTCACCGGCCATCATCGAATCAATTAATGTGGAAGGCCTTGAACTTGATAGTTGACTGACGATCGAAATTCGTGATAGACTCCCTAGTACAAAATTTGGGAAGCTTGATGACCGAAAGAATACATATCAAGAATACCTTCTCTTACTGTGAAAGATTGTTTCCCTAAACGAACACAATGGCAAAATGAAAGTTTTATTTTTATTTGATGCTAAGTGTCGTCGGTGTAGTAGAAAAGTGAATATGTGAATTGTGTTGTACCGCCTTCCAAGCCATACTGCTACACGTGATCTCTATAGAATTGATTCGCATTCGCCTCGAGTGGTATGAAATGTTTCCATCTGGTAAATTTAACTTGTACTAAACTTGAGAATATATAATAAGTATATATCCCGAACTATTTCAAGGAATCTCAGTCTCATAAATCACACTCCAAAAAAGACCCCTTCATTTATCTCGCCTATCCTCATCCAACAACTGGGGGCGTGCAACAAACCCACCAAAATGCTTAGTCATAAGTCCAACCCAACTAAAACTTCAAAGTTCAATCTTCCACCCTAAACCCCTCCAATACTCTCATCCCAAAACCCCAAAAAACATTCCTAAATCTCCAAAACAAAATCGACCAGAATGGGACTCGAACCCACAACCTTTGCCACCGGAAAGCAATGCGCTACCATTGCGCCATCTGGCCTTCTGACTAATCAATAGAAGTGGTTGTGAAAGTATATAAACACATTTTGTAGTGTACCCCACCGTCGGAATTTCTTCGCGCCTGAGAGACTACGACCGAATCTTGCGGCTACAGTACACATTGCCACCCTCTGGTTTGAAGTATGCATACGAGTATTTGCTGCTGGGTCAAATCAGATGGTCTGCATCTGTATGCAAGCTTCTGCTATTGATCGATACGAGATATTTTCTTACTTCCTACTTGAGATTCAAATTTTCACTCGAGAAAAAGAGTTTTTCATCGCGGGATGAACGCACGTGATCTACTTAGCACATGAGCTTATTCGTACGTGAAAAAAAAGTTGCCGGAATTGAGTTCTTCAACTCTGGGTACTCTATGTTAATTAATTAGAATCATAAATCAAGCCGCAATTATATCAATAAATCCAGCCTTCGATTACTTCCGCATTCAAAGAGGGTAACATTTATATGCGCATAAAGAGTAACAATGTGATCATAAAGACCTTTTAACCTTTCAACCTTTCAACTATGTTCATTTCCAGCCATATAGCTCGCTAATGGAGAGCCACCCTTAAATCATCGCTACACTTCTAATCATCACATACATCCTCTCTCTATCTACTCTTTGCAAAAGTTTCTTTTTGCTAGAGGATTCCGTACATCCCACACTTCTATATCCCACCTCTCATAGATGGCACATGCGCTCTCCAACCCACTATCAAAACCACGAAGAACTCCACTCTACCCCCACCATAAAATACATCCATCCCACTCCGATACTCCATCCATTCCATCCACTCCACCCAAAAGTACTCTCTCCACTCCCTCACCTCCTTCACCACCGCCAAATCCAAACCTCGTATCCCTCCATCCCCCATCAATACATTCTCCCAAAACCCAAGACCCAAAAAATCATTCTCGACGTCGGCATGATTCGAACATGCGCCCCCGAAAGGAATTGATATCGTATTCTGACTTTACACCCTGGACTCATACAATGCAGAGAGAGCTGAAGTTTAATTCGAGTCAATCACGTTAACCACTCCGTCACGACGCCGATTTGCTGACTAATTCATAAAGTAATTTTGGGCGGATTTAGATATATGTACCAAGCATTTTTTCACTGATGGAGAGGGTTGGGAAGATTGGTACTTTTCGAGGTATAAATTCTGTTCCTCTATTTCTGCTATTGTTGCGGGGGTGAATGGTGGTAGACTGATAAAAGAAATATAAGAGAAGTACATGCAAGTGAAACATGTATTTAATTGTGAAGATATTAATACATTGTATTGAACTCATCTCGTTGTTAATTTTCAAGTAATCCATACGCATCCCCTACCGAATCGAACCTCATAATCTTCATCAATGAACTCACTGGACAATCCCAGTGTCCATCTCTATCTATAAACATTAATACAATTTTAATTATAACCATTTTTTCATCTGCAACAACATCAATGCCAGCACCACACCATCAACCCTCTCTCCCCTCTAGATATCATGTCTCGCCCTCTTACTCTTCATTCTAATCTTCTCACCCCACCTGTACAAAATAAACGGAATCGGTATAAACGCGACACTAATAAACGCCAGCGTGGAACTCGCCCACGGCACTCCCAAGTTCTTAAACATGGCATTCGCAAAGAGCGGGAAACCGGCGCCGAAACACGAGCGCATGAAATCGTTTCCTGCGAATGCTGACGCTGCCACTTTGGGGTATGCATCGCCGATATAGTTGAGGACTGAGTTGAAGAGGAGGAAGGCACCGATGGAGAAAAAGGCTGAGCCGATTATGGGGACGATCCACTGGGTTAGGTTAGTTTGTTTCTAAGGGAATATGAGAAGGAAGAAAAGGAGAGGAAACATACATGAATACTTTCGCTACTTGTCCATCCAAACCAGAACAAGCAGATAGGAATGCAAAAAGCTCCTACAAAAGCCGGTTGCAATCTGATCTCAGGTTTGATATTGCCACTCTCATCAAACTTTGGTTCTTGGAATTTGTATAGATACAAGAAAAATGGCGGGATAACCACAAGCGATCCGACGAAAATACCTAGGAACGCCAATCCCTCCATCCCCAAACTAAAGCCATGGATCTCGACAAACACGATGGCGAATGATTCGAACCAAACGTATAGAAGACCGTAAATGAGTGCAATGTAGAGATTGAGGCAGAAAAGAATAGGTTCTGAGAAGGTGAGTGAGAATGGGAGGATGAGCGCCATGTTAATCTTGTCTTTGGTAGTCATCTCATCGGCCTCGAGTTCTGGTTCGGATTTGAGATTATCGACACCGCTGGATTTTTCAAGACGTCGACGTCGACGATACAGGATATTGGCGGAACTGGTCTCAGGCAAGAGGAGGATTAAGACGATCAGTGCGAATCCTGCAAACATTATTAGTATCAGCCTATGCAGAGAAATGTACCCAGTGATCTTGATCGTCGAATGCAGACAGGACTATAACATCCAGAATGTATCAAATTTTCAAGAAATTGATTGAACTCACCAGATAACCATGTTAATTCCCAGATAGTCCAAGTCCAACCTTTGCTTTCCGCGGCAAAACCTCCAACCAAAGGACCCAACTAAGTGTTATCAGTAATTAGAAATTTAAAGGGAGTGATGAGAAGAGACTACATACCACAGGACCAGACACAGCAGCCATACCCCAAATTCCAATTGCATAAGCTCTCTTTTTTGGCGCATACATATCCGCCAACGAGGCACCGCCAGTAGCCAATACCGGCGAACCAAAGAATCCAGTCAAGAATCGGAAGATAAGCATCATGGCGAAATTTTTCGCATATATGACACCGAATTGGAAAACCACAAATACAACCAGCGTGCCAATATAAACGGGATTTCGCCCAACTTGAGGTATTTCACTCATGGGAGACCAGATCATGGGTCCTAGACCGTAGCCGGCAACGAACAGAGTGAGACCAGCTGTTGCGGCAACTTGACTGACTCCAAATTGTTGCATCACATCTGTGATGCCTGCGGAATATATAGCCGATCCAATGTAGACAGAGAAAGTCAGAAGACAAATGAGGAAAGTGA